ACATCTTTGGAGCCAGCATGGTCTAATGGTAGTTGGCTTCCGGGTTCAATCCCCAGCTTCCGGGTTCAATCCCCGGCCATGCTTATGTTTATGACTCTTTCAACTCTTTTTTGCAATTTGGCCTTGAGGCCTGTGCCGCCATCATTTATGCTTCTGATATAGGGTTGCATCGAGGGTTGTAATTTAACCTGAAAACATGCGTGTTTCCCCCTTTAAAAACCCTCTCGCATTTCAAGGACCCATCTTCACCCCCCTCATCTGCGACATGAATAACTTCACCCCCATGACAATCTGGAGTCTGTTGGGTATCCCTCCACCCAACCCATACCCCGTAGGTTCTGTACATCTCCATTGGTCGTAACCAGCTGATGATTCGTCAGAAAGGAACCTGAGTCTGGTATAATATGAGTAGCGGTGGCCTCATGTTTGCAACCGTAGACTCCACCGGCAGGTTGCCAGACGTGAGCAATCCCCTTTGTACTTCCTTTTTCCCACTAACATGGTGATTAGGGGACGATACTCTTGACCATCATCGATGACGACGGCGAGAGGGTTACCTTACCATATGTCCTTTTTACTCTATCCAAACCCCCATTTCACCTATTATGAAAGGGCATGTGGCATAACACGGGTCTCTTAATACATCATACCATTACCACCTGTATCTTTTTACTTAAAAAAAAATTCATGTTGAGCCTTGCTTGAAAGCCCGGATGAGCAGAACTGATCTGAAAGGCCGGGTGCAACCAGACAGGAAAGACCACGATCCTATCCTAATGGCAGTTATGACCCTGACATGTTGACAGACGTCCCTGTTCTCCGTAATAAATAAATCTATGCCCGAGCCTCATGTTTTGCCAGTTAAAAGTGTCAAAAATCCTTTTTTTTGTTCATGACTGCCCCTGATTTCTTTCAATATACAAGGGATCTAGCTCGATACTTCAGAGGCCAGTTGCGGTCTTTACATAGCCCAAGCATTCCTCGTCCTGCTCCACCACCATGGTTGGAGCTGGAGGCCCAAGCATCTGTTGAAAGGGTAATTAACATGCTTGAAGAAGCATTCAAAGCTTCATGTATGTCTCACTTCTAGCCAGCCGATCTTCACTAAGTTTTGGACAGATACGACTACTTGGGACGTCTGGGACTATGCTGCAGACTTGTCACCAAGACAGAGTGGAAGCAATGAGGAGTTGGAGAAGAAACTCTTGGCATGATTCCCACCGATCTATGAAACAGCCGGGTCCGATATCCCCTACCTCGATCAACCGTGCCAA